GCTATCTACAGAACAAAAACTTTAATAATGGAGAGCCAATTATAGGTCCTCACCAATAGACACACATTAAATTAATGAGCCTTAATAAATACATACTCGCCAAAAAACAAATTACTAGCTAACTAACACTAGAGTTAAAAATGCCAATATCAATCTGCTTGGACCGGAACGCAGTAATGTGAGCGTTACTGCGTTCAGATTTTGAAGGGTAAGAGTGCTGGTGAAATTACAGGCACATAGGACTTGTCCAGGCATGTTGTTTACCACCAGGCGCACGCCTTGTTCGTCGCGTCACTTGATATTTCATAAAACAAAACTAATAAGTTACTACGAAAGTAATAAGTTTCGGTACGGTTTTACTATATAAAAAAAAATCAAAATTAAAAAACATGACGATGACGTTATGGTGATTAAAATATATAATGAAATAATATAAATTGCAACTATGTTGTTTAAGTTACACTATATATGTAATAATAATAAAAATTAAGTACGTTTTTGTTTATTTGCTGTCTATCAGATGCTATGTAACAATGTCATGTTTCGCTTTTACTAGGATGTATAACATAGATTTATGTTGCATATTTTTTCATAGTTCTTAGGTTTTCGCGATTCTTACATAAAGGAAATGACTCTATTGTTTTGGATCTAAATGTATTTGTTAAAATATATTTGTTTTTCAAATAAACTAATATTTGGGGCTGTTTACAGATCTCATGGTTAACGAGACCGTGACAGTTGAAAAAACAAATATACGCGTCAGATCCGAAAATAGTTTCATTTCCAAAATTTTTTTTATGACGTGAACTGATGGAACGAACTAGTCGTGTCCCTCGTGGCAAGCGACACACCTGTCTATAATAGCTACAGTGCCACTCACGAAGATTTGGGAGGCACTGCTACTGCGCTCGTTACCCTGAGACATAAGTTAATTGACAAGTCCCATTGTGCTTGTAATTTCACCAGCACCCTTAACCTTTCAAAACCGGAACGCAGTAATGCTCGTATAACTGCTTGGTGGGATAAATAAGTAATATTACAGTACCTCCCTGGAAGAACTCTTTCACAAGGAGCTCTACGCTGCTACTAAAATATATGCTTTTTGGATACAAAATAAATAAAAGTAACCAGTGTCAATGATTCTAGAACTTTATTCTCAGAATTTTTTATAAGTTCGTTCCTTATAATAGTCTTTGTTTTGGTGTTATACACGAGTAAACATTGGCAGGGTAAGGGGCTAACAAAGGGCATAGTGTAACAATGCGCTTTGCCACGCTTTCGCTGACGACGGAAAAAAGCCGTTTGAACTCTGTAAAAAACACAACGAAATTCGTAACGTCTGCTGACTCGGTTTGTGCCTCAGTTGGTAAAGAGCGGTGGCTCCGGAATTTATTATTTCATATATCACGAGATATACTTAAATAATAAAAATTGCCGCCGAAATTAGGTAGAGAAAACTAACCTGAAAATTTCCTAGCTATAATTATTAATACAAAGACACACTCAGAAAAAAATCCTTCGATCCGGTCGGAATCGAACCGACATCTTCTAGCATACCGTGTCAGACGCTATACCAATCAAGCCACGGAACGAACCAGCGGACCTCACGAATTTTTCTATGTGCTTGCGTCGTATCTTTGTATTTGGTATTTCAACGACTTGATAGCCGTAGTGTCATCTATTTAGTGGAGTAATTTCACATAAAAATAAATGAATATCAATTCAATAAAAATTTAACATTACCTAGCTAGTTAAGAGCCCCCGGAATGGCAACAGACCTTCGTCCGAAACAATTGCTGTCAAATAAGTAATACTCGGCCAAATGACAAACAGACAATGTTAATATGAAGCTACATTCGCATCGTGCGTCTTTTAAATTGGTTGGGTATTACTTATTTCACAGTAATTGGTTCGGACAATGTCGGATGGAGGAAGAGAGTAGAAGGCCTTCTTCCTCTTCTCCTCCTTCAATTAAAATGATACACATTTTAATTGCAGGAATTTTTCTTTCTATTCAATCTTTGTATCAATAACAAATTTATAACATTGCGCGTATTTAAATAAGCCGTGATAGCCTTAATGGTTTGAGGTTTGACCATTATGTCTATGTGTTTGACTAACCGCCTCTCAACCAAAGACCGTACGAATCCGGGTTCGCACTTCTGAGTTTCTCGGAATTTATGTGCGAAATTTAGTTTGATTACCACGAGCCTTTCAGTGAGGGAAACATTGCGATGAAACCTGCAAGTCAAAGAGGATTCATAACCCTTTACCATTTTCCGTTTTATGGACCTGTGTGGCGGACTTACAAGAAGAACATTAATATTAAAATGTTTACCACCTAGTTAACATGTTCTCCTGCACTTCCAACTACCTTAACTAATGCAATATTCAGTGACTGTCGCCACTGGCACCTTGTTGATGCAATTCACGTTTCCGGTTCGAATACCGAAAGTGAGCAGTTTTCCGTATAGATAATTTAACAAGCTTCCTAAAAAGTAGAGGTACCGGCTGTATAAAATCTATCTCAACATAGACTTATACTTAATTATCTTACTTATAAAGGCAAAATTAGCAGAAAATACGCGACTAAAAAACGTCTTTGCGCTCGTTTGAAACTTTACACATTGCAATCGTCATTTTTGCGCGCGGAAACGTTGAATTTTTGTTTGCTTACGCGTGCGATGTAATTTGAGTCGGATGGTATGTTTCCCTCTAGCCCTAGTATTTACTTCCGAAACAAATTCTGTGTTATTTTAAAACATCTGTGTGGTCAATGAATAGTACTTTTTACATACAACATACGACATACTGACGATAGCATACTGTGTAGTCATGTCTGTCTCTCGCCTGGGTAGGTTAACTTGTCAACTTATGCCTCAAAGATTCGGGCATTGTGGCAGTGCCCCTCAGATCTGAGATTTGTTCATCTGAGAATTCAATAACTAGATAATATTAATAGTAAATCACAGATGATAGTCGCACATCCATCTTCTCACAAAACTTCAAACATCGCAGTCTGGTGCAGATACGAGAAGCGCATTAAAACAATACAGAGCGCGAACAAATGGTGACTTACTGTGTGACACAGTGCGCACCGCCGGCACTGCCAGAAGATGGTGATCACATGATGTGATTTAAAGCTCTGAACGGTGATACTGCAACTGTTATGGATAGGCGAGTAGCTTACCACCCGGCGCACAACTTGTTCGTCCCTATAGTAGTACTTTCGGTCCCTATGTAGTATTATAAAAAAAAATAAGCAAGACTAGTATTTTCGGATTCAGTGTCTTCCATTCATTGGTTATCATTAGATACAACCATAAGTAGAGAACACGGTTATTGGTTATTGCGTCTGTTGTTTACCCTTATGTAATTGGTGGTAGGTCATCCTGAGATCGTCTCGAAATAAACTTTTGCTCATTCGATTGTTCAATAAGTCGATTTCCTTTTAGTATAAAATCGAATTGAGTGAGCCTAAATAAATTTAGGATACAAAGATAGAAAACTCGGACCCACTTCGGATGTCGCTTGTGCATAAAGTCCGATTCGACTCAGAGAACCTTGTCACCTAGAGATAAAATGATCAATGCATTGACTTACAATTAATTATATGGACGTCGGGTCCGCGCTAAAAAGTGTCCGAACTTATAGGGCGTTAAAATCGTATACAGAGCGTCATTGACTGACTGACGCTCTTCGTTTGTTTCTTCTGACAGCGAAGCAAGCAAAATTAGACAGTACTGCGATGACATTGCAATTTAAATTCAACGTTTTAGCTTTTTCATATTCCTTTACATGTCACTACTTTTAAATAGGTTGACTTGGGACATTTATTTCGTGGTTTTTGTATTAGACCCGTCGTCCATTTATTTGTAAGTCAATGGATCAATGTGACATGTCGGACCGTCATTTCTAGGATTCAAACGAAGTGCACAAACGCTCTAAAAGTGGGTACCTACCCTGTCACGTGCTACTTCTGAGTAATATCGGTAAAAAGACGCGAGTAACACACTAAGGGGTACCGATGAAATGCAGCACATTTCTCAACTAATCGCGCCTTTGTTAGTTTAATAAGGCGAAAGGGTTAAAGATTGTACGAACGAAATTAGTCGGTTAATAATGTTTTTCTTATATAATACCAAGTGACGGGACAAACAAGTCGTGCGCCTGATGGTAAGCTCGCCTGTCCATAACAGTTGTAGCGCCGCGCAGAGCTTTAAATGGCAAATATCTGAGGGGCATTGCCACGGTGCCCGTCACCTTGAGACGTAATTTGACAAGTCCCATGTGCCTGTAATTTCACTAGAGTATTACGACAGAAATAGGTAAGGTGGCAGTACTTCCCTGGACGTACTCTTGCACAAGGGGCTCTGCAACTAAACTACTGCTTACTTACTGTTTGCTACTTAAATATTAGAGTAATAAAATGTGTTTTATGTTGTTGGAATAATTTTTATGTGATAAAAGCACTTTTGGCGTATGATCAAAGTTTACGAAAATGACAAGAGCTAAAAATCAACCTCGAACTACTCAACAAGCCCATATTAGTAGGAAATTAAAACAAATGTATGAAAAAAATGACAATCGACAATTTTTTTATTTTGAAATTAGAACTAAAATAAAGAAATAAAATAACCGGCCAAACTTATGAAAAAATTAAACATTTCTTAATTTTCGGGATTGTGTTCCCCTAAATGTGTCGATGCATGTATTACACATAAAAAACACCTTAAAATTTTTGGAACTGTAGGTGTTTTTTTTTTTGCTAATGTGTAGGTACATTCTTTGTGGTTAGGTGTATACTCTACGTAACCACAGATCGCTACAAATCTTTCTATAAATGTCTGCACGTGCCAAAAACTTTGAAGTGTAAACAAAACTATGGAGACACTAAAAACTTGTATACCTAAGCGAAGGCATTTAATTGTAACTTTTTAAAGAGCGATTGTTATTTTGTTTTCTTCAGTTTTTAAATAATATATTTTTCATAATTCCAGGTATACGTTATAGCAGATGGACGCTGTATCTTCCAAGGCGATACGGCAGCCATGGTACCTTTCTTGCAGAGCATCGGAATGCCCTGCCCTAGACATCACAACCCAGCTGATTTTAGTGAGTACTTTTTAGTATTACTTATTTGATATTTCAAAGGATGTCCGACGGAGAACGGGAGTGGTTACTCCCCTGATACAAATACACGGCACGACATTATTAGCGGTAGCGTTGTGTTGTTCCAATTAATTTTATATAAATAATTATTAAGGTACATTTATCAAGATAATTATCTTGATAAATTACCAGTTTGAATCCTGTCTTGGTGTAATAAAGCCACGTCAGCGAAATTACAAGTTTTCGTGAGATAGGTTCAAAGATTTTTCCAACTAAATTAATCGATAACGTTTATGTTTAAATAGGGGACTTACAAAATATCATCTGTACATAATTTGTTTCATGTAAATCGTCGTTATTTTTATTTATTTTATTTTATAAAACGGCCATTCTCACATTCGGTGTTCTCAGCCTAATTACCGTAGCCGTTGTTTTTCCTCGCTTATTATATCCAATAACACTGAAATATGAATAGCTTTAAACTAAACTATCAATATGCCTAAATGGCATGGGAATAAACAAAGTCATTTTCGAGTTACTAAGACACAAATATTGTATGAAAACGGTAATAAGATCTTGTTACCGGAGCCATGGATACGGTAATTAAAAAGTTCAAACAATTTTAATGAAAACATAAAAACAAAAATTATAAAGAACAACTAACAACATATAACTTTGATTTTAATTTTGTCCAGTTTTTGTAATGAATTACACCGATATAAAATATATTTTTTTAAGTTTTGTTATCGGTAGAATAAATCAAATTTTTTTGTAACATTTGTGATTAATCATAAGAAAGAATTGGAGTAATTTTTAATCACTACCGCTAACCAAATATAAAAAAAACCTACTTTAAATTTATTTAAAAAATCTTGAATGATGCTTATATCAATAGAAATAAACCAAATGTAGCAAAATATACAAATAATTCAATTTCAAATTCAACTGTGTCGGAAATTGTCGGTTTTTTTAAAAAATGTTTGGAACTTTCTAATTACCGTATCCGCGGCTACGGTAATTAGATCTAATTACCTTTTCCTTAAAATATTTGTGTCTTTGTTTCTAAACTAATAACATGAAAACTACTTTGTCTATTCTAATGTCATTTAGACATATTGATAGTTAAGCTTAAAGTTGTTCATATTTCAACGTTATTGGGTAAATTCGGCGAGAAAAACAATGGCTACGGTAATTAGGCTGAGAACACCAAAATAGCTACGTTAATTAGGGTAGTCCGAATGTGAGAATGGCCGAAACTCACTTTTGACATATGATCACATGTGGCTGTATTAAGCAAGGGTACGAATTGATTTCGTTATGAAGTCCATTTCGTAAGTGAGGCAACAGTAAAACTTTAAATAAGTATTCGAGAAATAGAATTAATACGGCCAGTAATTAACGCAAAAAAATGCAGGCACTTACCTGTTTGTCTTTTTAAGCTAACATGATTTGGTAATCATTAAAAATGTTGACATTTGTCACAATGCTTGTAAACACAGAAATCATGCGTATTACATACATAACTTCGTAAGCATTTTGGTCCATAACATCGGTTCTATTTACTCGTTTCTATGTAAATAGGTAAGCACTACCGCTGCGTAATACGTGGCATATTATATATTCCAATTCCATTTATTTACCACAAAAATAAACACAAAACATCGGACATAACTTCGTAAGCATTTTGCGACTCTATTTACTCGCTTTTATGTAAATAGGTGAGCACTACCTCTGCGTTATACACGACATGCGATACATTCCAATTCCATTTATTTACCACAAAAATAAACACAAAACATCGGAATTAGTAGAGGTGTACCTGCAGAGCCTTGGAAAAAACGTGAGCAGGATATAATCACGGAGAGTGTGCAAGGGAATTACACGATTTAATTCTACCTTCCCCTGTCCATCATCGCAGGACTAAACGAAGACTCCTTAAGTTGTGGATATGCCAAGGATCCGCTCGAAGCGTTTCGCTTCCACATATATATGCCGAACAGCTATGGAATGGAATTCCATGCCTGCAGACTTGTTCCCCGAACGCTATACACGTAGTGCCTTTTCAAAGCGAGAGTGAAGTGTGAAGTGAGAGTGAAGTCAGTGTAAAGCATACGCGTATACACAGCACTGATTTTCAGCTTGTCATAAGACATGTAGATATATAAAACACGCGCACAAAAACAAAATCTAAAATTAAAAGTAATAAAATTCACAACACACGAATTTATATTAGTGATACATTAACAAATAGAGCATCTACTACACATATATGTATAACCAACTAGGTATATTATAGAGCAAATCACTATAATACTAATACCAATACACATTGCTACTATTTGTACTAATGTTAATATTAAACTAATACTACTTTAATGCTATTTACGCTCGAGGTATTGCTTCCTTCTTTTTGCGACTTAAAAAATAAACCCTTGAGCCGCGAAATCAAACACGATTGGGACATAATATTTTATAACTTATGTATTTATAACATAGATACCTACTAGGTCATCATCGTCATCAGCATATCGCAGTCCGTTGCTGGATATAGGACTCTCCCAATTTGTCCCATTTCTCTGGTCTTGCTTTTCGCATCATCTGCTGCCAGCAGCCTTTCGCAGGTCAATCCATCTGGCCAGCCTACACCACATTTGCCGAGTCGTGGTGGTCTTCACTCAAGAACTCGCTTCCTCATCAATTATCCGTCCTTCGATAGATATGGCCAGCCCACTGCCACTTTAGGTAGGCGGCCCTGGCTCTCATCGGATAAATTCATTTCGTATCTTGTCCTTCAGAGAAACCTACTAGATGCGTCCCGTAAAATCGTACTGCGACATGAAACTCCACAACAGTTGTCTCTTACTTCAATATATTTGTTTGGCTTCTTTAACGAGCGTTTTGCGTGATTTTGATTGACGTAGGTACAAGCATAATCTAAGTAGTTATTTATATAATAGAGATCCCATTATAATTAAGCTTGAGCTTCCAAATACAAAGGAAACGTTTATAGCTGGGTACGTCAGCATTATACTCGAAATTGATGGTAATTACGGTTATTTTTAGATTACAATAAAAAATAAAGCTACAAATAGATATAATTTGCAGTATACATGTTAATCTCACACCAGTTTTAACTTTAAATATTTACGTGGGCTGCTCAAACGTTAAAAGATAGAAAAACTGTTAACATGCATAACTTACAACATAGACGAATAATTACCATCCCTGGGTCATCGTATACGATAATGATTGTAGGATTAAATGCGATTGTTTCGAATAAATAAAGTTTAGACGTCAACACGCTATTGTTATCGATTAGCTGTTCACTTTCCCCTACAAGGTGCGTTACAATCAAAAACAAAGATCTGCAGCAAGCACATACAGAAATCGTATCGCATCGAGTATATAACCAGAAATAGAGACGAAATGACATTTAATTTGTTTAAAATCTATTCTGCTAAATCATTACGGTGACAGCCCGAATTCGAAACAATTGACGGGTGTCGTCATTTGTTTCAGTTCAAATCGACTAGTTTAACATGAGCTTTGCTATAGTTTAACATGAGCTTTGCTTATTTGATTTTTAATTCGGGACTTAATCACGTATAAAACATATTTTATTTACCTCGACGTTTCGGACATATTGCAACGTCCATGGTCTCGAAGGGACTGAACTGAAGAGGCATCCGTCTAGAAGACGGCTAGAAGATGCTGACACCCGTCAGTTTTTCTAACTACCCGAACTTGATCTTTATTATTTATTTGTGCACTACGGTTCTCACTAGACCGACTCACAACACTCACGACATCCGGCGACTTGATGTCGTTTACATTTGCTGATAACTGGATCCCATGACGATGAAATACAATAAATCGTGTACATATGTTTTTTCAAACAAACCAACGTTTCGGGCCCTTTACAGGTCCCATGGTCACGGATGACTGAGGTGGTACAGTCATCAACCAGTTATGTCTAATATTAATGCAAACCACCCTATTTTTTCACTGTAGTTACAAAAGTTATTAATTAAATACCTTATTTTTAATTTTACTTATTTCCAATTTACGCTACATTGTTTTACAGATTATTTTATTGTAACAATATGAATATTTATTAAGTTAAATTTATAATTAATTAATAATGGAAATTAGAATAAATTAGAACATATTAATTAGTACTGCAGTCGTATGTCTGTTTGGGATTTTTCATCAGAACGTTGGTCAGTTTGAAAAAACAAATACACGCGATCTAAGCAGCAGTAGAGCTCCTTGTGAAAGAGTTCGTCTAGGGAAGTACAGCCACCTTACCTATTTCTGCCGCCAAGCAGTAATATGAACATTATTACGTTCCGGTTTTGAATGGTGTTGGTGAAATTGTAGGCACAGGGAACTTGTCAACTTATGTCTCAGGGTGACAGGCGCAGTGGCAGTGCCCATCAGATCTTTGCGATGCAAAGCTCTGAATGGCACTGCAACTGTTATGGACAGGCGTGACACTTTCCACCAGACGCACGATTTTTTAGTCCCGTCGCTAGGTATCATAACAAAAGATCCTAAACATAGTTACATTTCCAATACGTAAAGCTTATGCACAGCTACATTCTGATGATAATCAAAAAACGTTTCTTCTCATTCCAGTAATCGAACTGACCGAGAACCAAGACACCATAAATCTTCTATGCCAAGAAATGCTCAATGGGAAATTATACAAATCGGCAAAACTAGAAAACACGCCCAACGAACCAATGAACAGTATGGAGCTAAAAATCTGCTATCAAATCGAAGACGACGCTCCAGAAACAGAAATAATGCTGTCCAATGAAAAATGCACATACAAAGTACCGGAATATAATGAAATTAGTGATTCCAGTTCCTTGTCGAGTCAAGAATCTCAAACAATAAACTCTTCTATGGCCTGGATGAAAGTATATAAGTCTTCTGAGTGTTGTGGATACCCAACTACGTACTGCGAACAGTTTAGAATACTATTGTGCAGAATGCTGTTACAAATCAGCAGAAACCGTCAAGGTGAGTAAATATATTTATCTCCTGTTTGGAACCTTTCAATTTATAAGGCCACATTTCCAAAACAACTGATTCTAATACACTCATTCCCCATCCGACATTCGTCCGAAACAATTACTGTTAAATAATTAATACTTGACCAAATTGAAAAGACAATGTCAAGTATGAAGCTTCATTCGCATCATTCGTCTTATAGTTGGGTCGAGTGTTACTTATTTCACAGTAATTATTGCGGACGGACGTCTGACGGAGAACAAAAGTACACGGGGCTTACCATAACTTTCCCAAAAACAATCTATTTCAATGTAAGCTTAAAGTAAGCTTATTATAATATTACTCATATTCGTACCATGACAAACCTTTCAACCAAGTATTATATTATTGCTAAAGTTATTGAAAGAACAAGTTATTTCCGAATATTGTCTATTCCTTACCAAAAATAGGAAAGAAATAACGCTATATGAACTATATAATATCATCTCTTTCTTTAATGTTATTTACATTCAGAGAATTTTAACTGCTCATAAAACAAAATATGTAATTATAAAATCTATTCAAATTACGTTGTTTAGACAATAAATTCGAAAAACTTTTGGTTAACTTTTTCATTCCGGTTTGAAAGGGTAAGGGAGTCACCACAGTTATCGACATGGAATCGCATTAAGCCAGTCAGAAAAATGTTTATGTAACGACGTATCACGTTCCGCTACCGCTCAGACCGCCGATGCGAAATGTACGACGTCTTTTCCGTTCTTATTACATGGACATAAAGCTTTTTCTGACCGGCTTAATGAGATTCCGTATCGATAAGTGTTATGACTCCGTAAAGGTGGTGGTCAAATTACAGGTACACTGTAATTTCACCACTTGGTGGGACTTGCCGAGGCTCTGGGTGACGGGTACAGCGGCAGTACCCCTCAGATTCTTGCGATTTAAAATTCTGATTGGCGTTGCAACTAAGTACTGATATAAAATTTGTAAAAAAAATCTATAGTTTTACAATGTTGCATAGTTGCATATGAATTCTTTTTACCTAGCGCGTTCACGCACTACATCCGATTCGTTGTAGTTCCGAATTAGAGACTATATAAATCCATAACATGCCTGGAATGCAATGCAGTTATCTGCTCGCCTCATGAAGCAAAGTACAAAATTATGTTAGAGCGCATTCAAAATAAATTTACACGACGTGTACGTGCAAGAATATATGGTTTTTACCCCTTTTATCCACTCATCTGTCCAAGTTTGTTTGTACTCGCCATGGTTGGTTATAATAGTAGTATTAACTGCTTCCGTGGCCGAACGGTTACCATGCCGGATTGCCACGCAGAGGTCCCAGGTTCGATTCCCGGGCCGGGAAAAATATTTGTATGGCCTACAGTTATTTCACTCGTGAGTTTGGGTGTAACTTGTGGTTGTCTTATGTGTGTGTCAGTGGCACCCGCGACACAGGGTTTCCCTAGTGCGGGGCTATGTTGAGTGTGTGTGTGTGTGTGTGCGTTAATAGATTAGAAGTACGTCGAGACTTCGCATTATCTCAAATTATTTTTAAACTACTTATGCCCGGTTCCTATATTCAGAAAACGATCCGTTTTGCTTACCATCGGTACTCTTCTTAACCAGGCGTAAGTCAAAACCGTTTCTATAAAAAACGTTTCGTAAGCTATGTTACCAGTGACTCGCTACCTACGGATGGGAGGACCACAAACAACGAATAGTTAAGATAAAGTATGGGGATGACAGTTCATAGTGTGTTTCTATATTATTTTTGAAACGTCAACGAACTGTCAAAGCTACTTGTCGTTAAACATTTTGTTACCGCCCAAATTGCGTCGGTTGCGTGGTAGTATTCTCCAAATTTTGTTTATTAATTAATTGCAATGTCTAGTTCAGACAGTTTAAGTGACCTAGAAGGCTTATCCGACTGGAGTACTTCGGATTCAGACGAAGAAAGTAATCGTAGGAGTTATAAAGTGAGAGTGGACCATTTTAACACTTTAGATTTTTATGAATTCCAAGTAAGGTTTCGACTGGATAAAACATCAGTGCAACAGTTTTTTGAATATGTTTAACACTGCTCTTTAGTTCGATGTTGTTTTTAAATTCTTTCCGCCAAGCAAATCGCTGTTTGACAAACGTAGTGACGCGACTGCGTTTTGTTTCCTCACCGGTGTCATGTCAAACCTCTTCTAGATCATAATCAATACGTAAAATTGAGTATACACCACTTTTTCAACTGTTTGTTTGAGTATTTTTTGTATGTAGAATAATATTATAGTTATATTCTTTTTTAATAAATATCGGCTAAAATATGGTTTTTGGAATAACGAAACGTAGAGAGAATCTGTGAGGTCCATTCGTAAGCAGATAACCGACGACCATCTGTCGCAGGTAGTCGGGTCAAAAACAATGTGAAACACATGTTGACGAATGGTTATTGTTAGGGTCATTACGAACGGTTAGGATAACCGAAGACAATGAGTTGATTATCTCCCGGTTCCTATAATCAACTCATTGTCTTCGGTTATCCTAACCGTTCGTACCGATGGTAAGCAAAACGGATCGTTTTCTGAATATAGGAACCGGGCATATAAGAACCGGGAGTAAGAGGGTCAATTTTTAACCCATGTTTTTTTTATGCGTGGCGCGCGGTCGGACTAATCTGAGCCGGAAGGCCACGCTCACACGAGGTTTGCAAATCTTAAATAATGTTACAGACAAAACGGATAAATAAATAAATAAAACTCGGACCCACTTCGGAATGTCGCTTGTGCACTGTCAGATTCGAATCTGAGAAAATAATACGAATATGGCTAGGACATCTAGAGATAGAATGATCCCTGTGATATTTCGGGCTGTCATTTCTCGGATTTGGAACTGGAGGTGTACTCTCGATCTCCGTCCGACATCCGTCCGAAACAATTACTGCCAAATAAGCAATACTTGACCAAATGAAAAGACGAGTGATGCTAATGAAGCTTCATACTTGACACTGGTCTTTTAATTTTTGTCGAATATTACTTATTTGACAGTAATTGTTTCGGACGGGGATCGAGAGTATCCCCCTGATACGAATCGGACTTAGTACGTTAACGTTAAACGCTATTATAGCGTTTCTTTTGGTCATTTTGTGAATCATATCGAATTAAAATGATATTTCAAGAAACCTTGTACATTTTTAAAGATAAAATATAAACCAATTACAAATATATAAAAGTATGTTGTATATAATGTGTGTGACGAGACAGCACCGATTATTTATAGTGAGATCCCATGTTGTACCCAAAATTTGTACACAACAATGCCTATGGAAACGACTAGAAATACATTTATTCCTAACCTTTGCCTTTGTTCTATTTAGCAATAGAATATAAAGTCATGCTGTCTTTACCTATTTACAATTAAAACTGAAAATTAATTATTCGTATCGAGTCTTTAGTAACGTAAGTTAAATTACTTCATTATTCCTATCTTCGATGTATTATGGTTTCGGAAGTATAATTATGTATTTGTGTTGTTTCCAATTTGCCTTAGTTTAAATATTCAGTGACCGAACTAATTTGGAATTTTATATTATTTCGAAATAAGTTCATTTACTTACCTCTCTTTTTAGACAAACAGGAATTTCCTCAACTGGATTGTCAAAGGTTTTTACTTTGATTGCTCTTAAGCAATATATATTTTTTCGAAAGTGATTGATTCAACACTTCCACTGTTATGCGAAATCAACCGCTTCGGTTAAACTTAAGAATTCTATACAACCTCAAATGGCTTCGGTTGATTTCGCATAACAGTGGAAGTGTTGAATCAATCTCTTTGGAAAAAATATATAGTATAATTGAGGATATACACTGATTAGTATACGGTGTGAAAATACGATTCCTAAAAACTTTCACTATAGAAAAAAAACACAAACTTACCTCGATATTTTACAAAGAAACCGCTGTATTCAAAGGTACTTTACTTATATCAATGATGTTTTTATATCAACTGAACTAAATAGAAGATAGTGTTCCAGTATTCCTACCGCTTCAACCCAAGCAAAATGAACCGTATTAGTATGGAAATAAAATTAAATTCGAGCTGAGATAGTACTCTTAACAGATGTGTTATTCTGTGTGTTGTGCTAAAGATACCGTTTTCGATATTCGAATGTAACTATCAAGAAACGATTTTTGGGTAATTGATTTGTGTCAAGTTGTTCTTAATAATATACAGTCAATACAATACAAATATTGTTTATGGCATACAAGAACAAAAACAGACAAAAAGCAAGGTGTGTAAGCAAAACAAAAGGCAACATCGAAGTGACGAAATATACTTAAAAAATAATAAACAAAGGCCGCAACAAATGTTACTCACATAAAAAGTAAAGGTGTTTAGGTATTGCAATTGACGGTAATGATTTTAAATAACATTATTTTTCATATTCCAGGTCTCTACATTCAGTTGGTCCACCACATTATGTGTGGCATACTGATCGGTCTTTGTTTCTTCAACATGGCCAATGACGGCACACAGATGTTCAACCATTTGAAGATGTGCGTTGGGTTGGTCATCTTCTTCGCGTATACGCAGATAATGGTTCCAGTGCTAATTTGTAAGTGTTTTTCAAGGATTCCGTATTGTAATGCCTACAGTATAATTTCTTGCATGCACTGCCCATCTCTAGTTACGACTCAAAAAATACTATACTTACTACTAAATATTTATTAACATGATTTTAACAGTAATTTGTTTGTATTGTGGAAATAAATAAAGGTAATATTATTATATTATTATTATTCTTTTGGACTGAATAGTACAATGTATATCATTTCAGATCCCCAAGAAGTAAAACTAGTGAAGAAAGAGCATTTCAATCGCTGGTACAGCTTAACGCCTTACTACGCAGCGTTGACGGTCTCAAAGATTCCAGTACAAGTTTTTTTGAATATTCTCTTCTGTACGATTGTGTACTTCATGGTCGGAGTGCCTTTCCAACTGGACAGATTCACAGTATTTTGTTTGATAGCGAATATTGTGTCACTGGTGTCTGAAGGATTCGGATTAGCTATTGGATCTGTATTCAACGTTCGAGTGAGTGCCACTGTTTTGATGATTATTAAGACGACTACGTCTTTTTTAATAGGTTTTATTATTATTAGAGTAAGGGCGCTTTTAAATTAACCACTTGTAGAAGCGCTGCAGTGGCACCACTGTGGCGCTGCAGCCGCGCTGCTACTAATTTTCTTACAATATTTAGTAGCGCAGTTGCAGCGCCACTGTCGTGTGCACGTGCGCGCCACTTTTGCAGTAACAATAAGTGAACTAAAAATTACTGAAGCGCCGCCACAAAATTTTTCTCAAACTTTTAGAACATAAACAGTAAAAAAAAAGGAATTTTATAATTCCGATCACATCATCATTATACACAGCGTGTGGCGGGCGTGCACATGTACAAGCCCCACTGTTACGTTTGTAAGGAGTTACTAAAGTTGTCTATATTATATTATGGTTCTAGTTAGGTCTTGAAATACTTGAATATAGTATAAATAATCCACGCCTTTTTTTCAGAATGGGTGTGCCATCGGCCCAACAGCGATAGCTCCGTTCCTCGGCCTCGCAATCTACGGCTTCGACTTCGCCCACCGCATTCCCCTAATGATGAAAATCTTAATGAAAACTTCCTTCATTCGATGTGGAGTCGTCGCCATGGTTCTCACTATATTTGGCTTTGACAGAAAACCATTAGAATGTCAAGATGTGTACTGTCATTTTGCAAAACCAGATGTTCTCTTGAACTATCTGGACATTGAAAATACTTCCGTATGGTTCGAGATTTTCATTATGTTAAGTATTATGTTTGTTTTTCGCTCTCTATGCTACATTGGTTTGAGATGGCGATTTGCAACGTGATTTATTGGTATATACATATGTATACATTAAGTTATTAAAAACTCGTACCTATAGGTGATAAGTAACTCAATGGCTAATAAAGGAGAGGTGTCTATTGGAATGTATGTACATTAGGTATAACTCTTAAAGTGATATGGTAGGCACAAATACAGCATTGTTCTCATTATGATCAGATTAGTTCAGATTTAGAAATATGCTCAGAATAGACTTTTACTAATCATTTTAAAGGCGTATTCCATAAAGCGCCTTCAAATATGACGCTTATAAATTTACGCTCTACTTATTTTTATACAATATTTAGAAGCGCAGTTGCAGCGCCACTGTCACGACACGCGCACGCCACTTTGCACTTACAATTAAGCGCCTCGCAAACATGTCTTGTGTTGGATACAAGCAACCGGCAACTAGAAGCGAATATTCCGTTTTCATACAATTGCGGTTGCCGCAGCCGGCGACTGTGTTCATAATATTGTATGAAAATTTGTTTTTAGTTAATTGCTTGTATCAGGCACAAGACACACGATTGCGCCGCGCCTTAGTGAACTAAACATTACTTGGCTGCCGTTCCACAGTTGCGTCACGCACTGTAGTGCTTTTACAACAGTGGCGTAGTGTCGATTTCTGTCGCCCAGGGTCACCCTTAAATTTGCAACCCGCTCTATTTTACTGATTACAAAAGTAATTCGTTGTCTCGGCTCGATTGTGTTTTTGTGTTCGCCTGCCGTTGCCACCTTTGCATTGTTCAGGATATCGTTTTCTCAATTAGTGGAATTTATTTCCTAATTTCAAGCAAAAATTAATAATTGTGACTAGCTGGGGATCGGCTGCGTACGCCGCCGCCCCCATTGCTGTGCCGCCCGGGACCAGGGCCCCCTCTGCACACCCTACGCTACGCCACTGTTCTACAAACATCTAATTTGAAGGCATACTTAAGCATCATAAGCATCAATTTAAATGTCAACAATTATGTACGAAACAAGCCAAGAAAAATAATTTTTAAGCATTTCACTTTAAGTATTAGTAAAAATATAATCTCATGTGATATTGTACTTTAAGTGCTTTATTTCCCGTAGGTGCTGGTAGGTGCCAGTTGTACAAATTTATGGTATGTGATATAAGTAAATATAATACATTCTGTTACAGAGTGATATGTTTGTATTACTTTATGTTTTAATTCTTTTTTTTGTACGTATTTTACGCGATAACTAAATTTTGTGAACCGATTTTGATGATTGTTTTTGTTGAAAAGAGGGTACCTCAGCAGTGGTCCCATTTAAATTTGAAGAAAATATTCCAGCTCTAAGGGTAGCAAACTAGGGGATGAATCTGGTTTCGCGCACTTTCCGGTAACCGATTTCAATAAAATTTGGCAAATGTATGTAATTCCGCGAACATTTGAGGTAGGCTTTTTTAGTACTTTTGTATGTCATTTTGTTGCCGGGCTATATTTCGACGTAGTTAAACAAAAAGTATCCAATCCACATCCAGTCACTTTCAAGATACCTATAGCAGTTTGAAGTTTAAAAGTGTTTCTCATTCTTGTTTTATTTTCAAAAGTTATAATGTCATGTAACTCCAGAGATATTTATATTAGTTTATTTGTGGATTTTTTTGCTCATCTAAGCGGTTAGACTTTAGGAACCGTTTGGTACTTATGTATAACTCGTTTTTTGATAATCTTGTGGATTGGATCCTTTTTGCTTAACTACGTCCAATTGTATACTAAAAGTTAAGGGTCTAAATAGCTTGTACCAATAACCCAAGAGGACCGCTAATCACGATACAAGACAGCGTAGTACAGTACTTAGTACCTATTAGTACACCAGATGTCGCGACTAATACCAAATAGCTATTTTTGTAACTAAATTACTTTACATTGACGAGCTGCAATTTATCATTAACATACAAATTACTTGTAATAACAAATAAATCAACTAGATTGGTGCATATTTCACACATTTTTATGGATACTGCCGACTAAATTTTTTGTTTAGGATTAGCGCCATCTACCCATATTAGCAAGCGGTAATTTATACCTAAGTTTGTAATGCCATCTATTGAAACGCATATTTGTCAAAAGTCAGAAAATAGTTTTAGCTCATGACATTGACCTAAGGTCCAATGGCTCATGGTCAATATTTGAATGACATTTCATCGAAAAAAATTGACGATGTGTATTTCATATTAGGGCGCGTTCAAATTAGCCGCTGTTAGAAGCGCTGCATCCCTTAGAGGATCTGCATCCGCATGACGGCGACAGTTTCAAATTTTTAGTGACCTTTCGACTCAGTCACGCGAGGGATTCTGACGAAGAAACATTACTTCAATTATTTATGAACTTCTAGAAGCCTCCGCTATGTAAAGCGTTTAAGAATACCCAGTTTTTGCCTATCAAAATAAATTTCCTCAAATGTTTTTTCCCTCAAAAGTAAACTAGACAGGTGGATTTCACATCACATTTCCTTGATATTCAGATACTGGCTTTTACCTATTCTTAAAATAAAGCATCCAAATTAACACCCTTGATAAGAAATTTAAAATAAATAGAAAAATTTGCCATCTCCTGAATAATCACTCTTTATAAGATACGAGTTCGAGAAAGTAAGGCATCGATAAGCGACATTGTATTGACAACGAACAAAAATCCTTCGATCTAACTGGACTTAATGCAGTGTCTGTTGCCATTCATGGGGTGTTCATGGGCCTTCGCTTGTAACCAGCTGAACTACAAACTAAGTCAGCAGATTTTATGAATTTTATGTGTTTGTTACTGATTTTTGTATCGGGTTCAAACGGTTTTTTCGTCGCCATTTTATGATGTTAAAAAATACATGAATATATAATTTATAGTATCAGAATAAATAGTAAAGCATCATGATACTCAATAAATAAAAAAAATCCTTTTAATTTTAAAAACAGTCAACTTTTCGTATATTGTGTGGAATTGTCGAATTCGATAGATCAACCATTATAGAGCGGTGCATGGTCTTTACGTTTGTACCACAGACCACATAAAGATAGTACCATATTTGAATATCTTTACCTAGTTTCAATTCAAAAACGGTAAAGTCTGTCACTATTTTGTTTTTGAAAATGTTTGTGAATTCGCAAGTTTTTTATGTATTTTGGATTTCCTTTAATTTGAAATACAGCCAAAGATTTATATGTTATTTTGGTTTATTTACTATAATTAACATATTATTTATGTATTACGACTGATTGATTATGAGTAAAACCGTAGTATAAGTTTAACGAGCAGTCAGCCTGTATATCTTGGAAAAGTTTTATACACAGTTCATATACCTCCTAAATTTGTCAGTTTTTGTTTCCTGTTTTATATAATGCGGAGTTAATAGCATTAATTTAACTAAGAATTTATAATAAGAGTACGTAAGCTAGTATATTATTAGTGCTAGTAGTATTTTCGAGACAATTAGGTTTTTTTTTCCAATTAGGCGGAAAAGAAATTTTGTGGAAGAGTAATATTTTCTGGGAAGTAGAACTATTCGTCTTAAATATATAAAGATGTAATATTCAAAATGTTTTAAGTGATATTAACGTCATTTGTCTACGACTTTACATTGACTAAGTGATAGTACCTAAATATAATTATTGTATAAATATATTTATTATTAAAAGCTTTATTCTAAATTAAATAGACACCCGACTACTTCTTTTTCCGGTTCTATAACTAATCCCTCTATAGCATCGCAGCACCCTCTGCGGCTTTTAAACCGCATTGGCAAGCAAATTTTAAGTATATAAGTTCCTTGGTGGCAAGATCGTCACTTCCTTGACCTAACTTCATAACCAGCATTAGATATTTTCTTAGACTATCCTTTATTTTTTCCATCGTCTAGGGGTATTTTCGTGTTAGCATTTAATTTTCTAGTTCTATCTATGAGTTATATTTACATATAGAAAAGGTTTAAAAACTTTAAAATACGCCGTGTGCATAAGTTCGTAAGGGGTGCAGAGCGCGAGCCTGCATCGCTCTGCATCATGAAGTAAATGGGATATATTTTTCCAACATTATTTGCACTCGAATTTCTGGTCACTGGGAAAAATATAACTGTAAGTATTCCATTTTGATCGCGTGCCTACTCTCTAGTAGGCACTTTGTAGCTCTCTAGCTACAAAGTTGCCTGTCTCTAGGATGCGTAAAGAGAATGATCGCTTTTGAGAGTTGAGTACGATCGATACGTCTTTTACAGTTACATTAAAATATCAGATAACATGTGTGTGTATGAGTGGTGACAATACTGCTTCTCATTGACGAATGTCGAGAAAGTGGACAAAGCAAAGGTGTTGTGGTGAAAAATGTATGCACGAATTTTTTATTATTATTATTGTTAAAATGTGTTAAGTATATTATTATTAGCTAGCTAAGATTCAATGTTACGTAACAATTTATGAAAGATATTTGGGACAACTATAACGCGTAGCCTGTAGATGGCGCTGCGATGCGATAGTGAGGTAAGATCGCATCGGAAATGACAAGTGTCCCTCTCCTTTTAAAGGTTTAGAATAAGAGTTCGAAAACATGTTTGTTTACTTTCAAGGTACTTAATTATAGGTTTTAAATTATGGATAATTTGGTAAACGTTATTGGAGTAAGCATTCATTTATGTGTAAAAGTTTCAATCTAAAAAATCAATTATATTCTCACGTACCTATATCCAGACAGACGCGTTCAATAAATTGAATTCTTTAAACATTCTTCTTTCGTTTGTTTAGTGAAGCATTTCTGTTCCTATGGTAGTCGTGTAGGCAAAATAATAAGTTTCAGTATTGCTAATTTGTAATACACCACAAACCGTTTCAGTGTTATTGTTGGTCACAACCTTTTTATTTATAGTACTTAGTTTTATACTTTTGTACACAATGTATACAGGTAAAATTAATAAAATTATGCGAAACATAATGAATACGTTTTATTATATTGTATATACACTTCAGAACTCGGCAACACGTAAACTTTTCATTAAAGTAGTATAAAAAATATAGTTGTCACCAGAAAAACAAAATTACTCAAGCAATAACTAGTCGAATAAATTAATATTAGCACACCAATCGTCTGTATTTCTTATGTGCAACCATTTGACTGGGTTTTGTAGCAATTTTTTTACACCCACCAGCACATTATGTTGTAGCAACTATTCACTTTTATCTGTGCTTTTATACAACATTTTTGGCGTTAATGAAGTCAGAAAATAGCCCAAAAATTTCAAACAAAAAAAACTATGGGCGATGGTGTGTTCTTTTTTAACACGGCATTGTAAAACTATAATAATGCAATGTGTAAATGTGTATGTAAATAATGTAATGTAATATCAGCGGCATTGCAAAACACTCCGCCATTTTGCTGAGCAACAGAACTTTTTATCTGCCACTACTATTGTTTGATCCTAAAATATATTTTTTTGGTTATACTTATGTATGAATGTGTGAAGTAAACAATTTTATTATTATATCTGGCGACGTACAAAGGTACAAAGTGTACAAGGTGTTCAACGACTACGCGACACGGAGGGAAAGTACTTTATATATATTTACGGACACATTATTTTATTTTTAAAAGTACTGCATTCAAAGATTTAAGTCGCTTGCTTCACCTGGAAACCGAACTGACTAAAAGTAAAAAAGCATCCAGTATTTTTATGTTGCTGATCGAAAGGGTCAATTATAAAGATTAATGCCTTTGTAATATAGTAGTATTACTTCCCTCCGTGCCGTATAGCCGTGTGACACCCTGTATACACAGCAGATGTATCTATTTTTTCCCATGTCCCTTGTCGCGTTTCTTTTTAATATGCTTGGGTGTCTTCGATTTTCTCTTCTCAGCTTTGTCTTCTTTGAACGCCTTTTTCCTTGCCTTTTTACTGTCTGGAGACTCATCTCTGGGGCGTGCTGAGTTACTAAACCTGGATTCTGAAAAATTTAATAAAAACAATTTGTGATTGTATTTATATAACCAATTTCTAAAACAACAATGATTTCATCAAGTAACATACACATTATAAATCATATCCAAACACCATAGAACAAATTATTAGAACAAAATAATGTTTTATTTATAACTAAGTTAATTTAATTTTTATAACGTACATATTTTGATTAAAAGAAATTTATTTTCATCCAATAAACAGTTCATGTGATATTAATGAAGAAGGTTCTTAAATATTTTTAGTTTTTACTTTAATCCTGGTCTTCAAGTATCACAACTCAAAATAAGACATTCTGAATTTAATAATTTTATCAACTGACCTTTATTTTCAACTTCATCTTCAGAACTTCCCTCACCACTGTCTGAAACTTCATGTTCCAGTAGGATCTGAGGCTTGTGAACAGTACCAGTGATGTCTTCATTGAATCCTGCAATCTTCTTGTATACTAACTCCTCAGTTTCACCTTCTTTTGCCTTGTTTATATCTCGTTCATAGTTTATAACCTGCAAATAGAAGAAAATAATCATAATTTGTATAAGAAACGCTATGCAGGAGAGTGAAAAAGAAGTTTGTAAGAATAATAAGTAGATTTCCTTTTTCTAAGTTTACAGGGTTCAAAAAATGTCTGCCCAAAATTCAGCCCCCTATAATTGTTGGATATTTTTTAAATTTTGACAGAGAATTCTGAAATTTTGACATTTGTTGGTTTAGCATGGGATTGCCATAGAAGGTTGTAAATATTCATCAGTAGGTAGTAAATTGGTTGACAGCAACTGTAACACAAACCTAGTCAAGTAAAGATGAACCTTAAAAGTAAAAAGAATCAAACAATTTACCTCTGTAAGTCTTTTAGGAATGTATATGCTCTTAAAAGCCTCCTCTTCAATTTGTTCTAGAGCAGTCATTTCCTCAAAGTCTCTTCCAGCTGCCTTCACAGACAATTTTTCTAAGCATTCTTCCAGATTGCTCTCATTTATAGATGAGTCCGTAATAAAATCAAACAGTTCTTTAACAGTCAATGTAGCAACACCTTTTTTCCTAAAGAAATCTGAAATATTTGTGCAATCCTTTCTCAAGAAATCAAAAGCATGTGGGTGATCATGTTCCACAGACTGTGATACGTCAATTACAACTACATTTCCTCTATGATACAATAAGTTAAACTCGGACAAATCAGCATGAACTAATTTGCAGATGTTAAAAATTTTCCACATCATAGTAATACAGTCTCGATACAATATTCTTGCAGTTGATTGTGATATATCCACATCTTTAAGTTTCGGTGATGGCCAGCCTTTCTCACCCATAAATTCCATTACTAGCACATGGCTCCGTAGAATAATTGGTTCAGGGACTGGTAGCTTTGCATTATGCATTCTTACAAGGTTTCTCATCTCTTTCTCAGCCCAGGTACGAACCATTTTACGAGGATTAGACCTACAATAACCATTTCTAAATCGATATTCTCCTGAGACGTATTTATCTCTGTCTTTAAAGACCAATATGGAGGTCTTAAATATTTTCACAGCGTAATCTCTGCCTTCTTTAGAAGTTGCATGGTAAACATTAGCTTCTTTACCTGTGGAGATGCATCCATTAATTTCATTAATGATACCTCTGTTAAGAAGTTTGAAAAGAATCATTTTCGTCCTAGGGTCCATAACTTGTTCTGCTGTGGCCCTGTCACATTTATCTTTAATTCGTATTCTTTCATTATCTGTCTTACGGTCGTTGAGGTCCATGAATTTCTCAGCTTTATTTGAAAGAATGGGCTCATATTGATCAACATTTATTCTATTCATGTACTTTTTAAACAGTTTATCTGTCGGTTGGTAATTGGTAATCTTATTAGAAGATCCTTGTGTATTTGTTCCTTTCTTTTTCTTTAATGGGTCATCTGAATCATAGAAGTAATCATCAGAATCCATGTCATCTTCACTACTGATTTTCTTGTATGTAGGTTCTTCGGCAAACTGAAAATTTTACACAAGTTTCAAAATAATGGTGCAATAATAACATCAACAGTGTGATGTAGATATAATATCAGCAAAAGTTGCTCATCTATAATTAAATAAATATTAAATTTTGAAGAAAGTATAATGTATACATTTTTTAAATTATGTAGGTTCCACTATATGGTAGATGGCGTGGAGTTTGGACTATTTTTTAATTCTGAGTAGACCTAGTCTTAGGTAAAACCCTATTGGTATCTACCTATAGGAAACCAAGGGTGTTCGCTCAGGAGGAAACCGCCTTGTTCGTCTTATCCTCTCCCAAGGCTCCACCTGATGTCAAGTAGCCAAAAGTTTTCGCTAGAAAACTTATTGAAAAATATTATGCAAAAACTCACCCTCACTGTTTTGACTTTTGCCGATAGGTCCTCTTCGTAGTCACTAAATTGACCATCGCCTCCGTTCCACATTTTAGCCCGTAAAACAGAGCTTCTTTTTTAAAATTAATTAAAAATCTCGACAAACAACGTGTGTGATGTTGATTCAACAGTTGAAAGAAAAATTGACATTTATATTTTTTTTAAGTAGAGTTTAAACGGCTTTGGTATAATGCCATACAGCCTATTCTTCATTTTCTTTTCATTTTGGTTTCATTTTGTAAATAGTTTCAATCTTCATATGACTTCAAAAGTGGAAATAATGTAACTGTAAATAACTTCATAATATTTTACGTTTTCTAGTAGAGATGGCAGGAGGCGGGGAATGTCTTCCTCTTCATAAATCTCCATTATGCCATCTACCAGCAGTAACCTTTGTACGTCGAATGCAGGACAATTCAGAATGAGATGATCTAAAATTGCTGCAGCTGAATCACAGTATTCGCACTGATCAGAGGATATGATCTTGATTCGTTGTAAGTGTGCCGGAAACTTTCCATGTCCAAATCTCAATCTGTTCCACAGTTCATCTTTTTTCATTCTTTTGACAATTGACTTATTGTATTTCGTGTCTTTGGATTCTAGGACATTCAGTCTAAATATTAGGATGAACAAAGACTGATTTATAATTAAACTTCCACACATAGTATATCATAATCACCAATACATGGAAATCATCGATTATTTCTAGGGAGCCATAGTATTTAAAAGAAGAAGAAGAAGGAGAAGAACAGTAAAGTTATTAATATTAATTTATTACTTCTGTAACGTAATATCAGCAGTAGAAAAGTGACAATGATTTATTTTTACGTATTTGATATCTATTTGGTATTTAGTTCCTGTAATTAATTTAGTTCAATATTAAGACAAAGAAGCTTGACATTATTCGGATGTAATATATAATAGGTACAGTGTCAAGAGCACGTCAAGCTTGACATCTAAAATTTTAATCAAACTCTATGCCGCTTACGATAAGAACGATCCAAAGTTCAAAGTGTCAAGCTTGACGCGTTGTAACATACCATTCCTTCCTTGTATACACGTCTAGCGCACCTTACGCCGATTCGTAAATCCTTTCACCATGAGGGCAAGCATTAAAATGAATGCTGTAGAAACAATAAAGGAGATCATTCCTGAGATCTTAGATTTAGGAACCTGCGAATTTAATTTCAAATGTCTCGAACAAATCGACTCATCCGAAGAACAGAGTCCGATGTGATTATATAGCGAAAAGAGAATAAGTACGTTACGAAAATAATTTCCTTATTCAAACTAAGGCCTATGTAAAGGTGTTTTGAGAATTTATATATGCTATTTCATTTCGGAAATTTAAAATCAAACAACAGTCGATCTGATATCCATAGCGAAGAAGAACGAACGAAATGTACTATGTCCCGAGAACAACTAATCTCGCACATACATCGTTGTTCTACGGATGAGTCGAAATATGGTACGATTAAGCGCTGGAATACACGTCCGATTTCGTGTCCGGTGGTCGGATCCGACTATCGGATCGGATTCACTCAATACACGTCCAATAGGCGTCCGATTCTTTCGTCGACTATTTCTGAACTAACTGTGTTGACAATTTATGGGGAATTTCCCAAATGCAGGGAATTTCAAATCAACAATTCGTTTGGGGATTTTGTTTGGATTACGCTATGTGGAGAAAATGCCCTCGCATTCTAGAATTTTATCATATTTTCCTTACGTTGATGATCACAGATTAAAACACTATTTATTTATTTGCTTATGAACGATATTGATATTTTTTTCAACATCGCACATGCGCTGGTTATATAGCAGCGTTTATGTAGAATTATTAGGAAACCGCTTATATGTATAAAATTATCTAGTAGGATTAGAATCACTTTATCTTGTATTGTAAAATTACTACTACTATCAGTCACCGGCAAGAGCCTGGCTCTTAAATAGAATGATGATCGGTGCGTGTTGAGCGCACGACCCCACCTCACGTTTTGACCGGTCCCCTGTGTGAAAAAAGAATACAGCTGTTGCCGAACAAAGCCGAGCAGTAAGTATTTTAAAGACGATATTTTTTTGAGCCTATGATGGAGCACGGCCCGTTCACGTCCCGGGTATGTGTGGATAGACTCAACTACCACAACTTGCCACTCTTGCCACTCAATCTTGTTGAGTTTATTTCTAATTATAGCTTAACGTATATGTATAGACGGGCACATTTTGACTTCTTAATTATTTGATATATTTTTAAGAGTAACAATAGTAATATAATAAACACTGAGAATGAATAAATATTATTACATGTGGGAAATATGACCTTTGCTTTGCCCAAATTTATAATCTTGATTTTTGGGGATTTTGAATAATTTGCACTGGCAACGCTGCAAATCGGTTGGAAGAATCGGACGTGTATTTCGTCTCATCGCAAAAGTATAGAGAGCGCGCCTTCAGACAATCGGATCGGTATAAAATCGGACGCTATTTCCGACTCGGACACTACGTCACGTCCAATCCGATATCGGACGTGTATTGAGTGTTCATACAATTGTATGGTACGAGCGCCTTCCGGTAGTCGGATCAGACTATTATATGGAAAAAACGGACGTGTATTGTCGCACTTATATGGTACGAGCGCCTTCCCGTAGTCGGATCAGACTATCGGTTGGAAAAATCGGACGTGTATTCCCGCAGTAAATAATAAAAAGCTCAGTGAAACTATCATGTTTTGAAAGTTTTTTCGAAATATTTTGTTCTACTTTGATAAGGTCTAAAATTTTATCTCTTCTTTTGCAATGACGTTTCAATGGGTTTTCCTTTCTCGTTGTACGTACAATCTACAAAGACACTATCTCGTTTTATGTTCTGCTTCTAATAACTACAACCTAATTTCAATATATGCATGTACAGGGTCAAGAGAACGTCAAGCTTGACACTAAAGGTTTGATTTAGCTATAAGCCGCTTGCAGTAAGAACGGTTCAAAGTCCAAAGTGTCAAGCTTGACGTGCTCTTGACTGTACTAGGCTATTACTTTTTAAGTTTAATAATAACTTAATAACTGATTTATCAAGGATTTAAATCTCCAATCATTCTCAACTGAAGTACTTATATCCATAGTCATAAAATAATTAAAAAATGAAATAACGTTCGAATTCAAAAGGAATTAAAAAACTCTCATTTATTACGAAACTTGTGTTTTAATTTAATTATTTTCATAATTTCTTACTTGCATAATGAACGATATAATAAAAGAAGTGAAAACAAAATATCCGGATATTCATATTGATAAACAAACATGTCCAAGTTACGTTAAAATGTATACGAAAGACAACAGACAAATTGTAATGGTGTATGTTGAGGTAACTCCAGTATTAATGCTTTTGTTTTTATTTAATATGTTAGTAAAAACAGAACCATCGATAATGCTATGCCACTGAACATTTTGTGCAAAATACATTTAGGCCGAACCTTAACCTTTTTACTCATTGAATATCGTGATTTTATATTTATAATGGAAGTAAATAAACGAAGCCTCAGAGGCAGATATACAAATGTAATTGTAAAATTGTAAAGAACGTTTGATTTTAGAGTGAACAAAGGTGTCCACCAAAGGTGGTGAAAACTAACTCCAATAAAAAAGGTAAATTGTCCATGTACTTCTTAAAGTAGTTAGTTTAGGACACAATATTTTAAAAATAATTTCTCAATCTCGAATATTTTTATGTAAAAATCGTTTAACATAATTTAAACTTTACCCTGTTGGTATATTGTTGAAATTCATTTATACATATTTACATAACATCTTAGTAGCTTAAATTTTAACATACAATGTCAACAGTACATCAAGCATCAAGAAAATCTGACAAAGAGTAGCATGATGTGTTGCCCTCTATACCTGCTTACAGCTGTAATAATATTGTGCCATGATGGTGGTCTCTATAGTCCATTTGTTTAGGCACTTAACTAAATGTAAACAATTTTGATACATGTTTTTATTGAAACATATACTTTACAAATAGGTACAAAAATAGCTAATCATTCTAAGTATTTTCATTTGAATTTAAGTAAAAATAATTTTATAAATGTATATTTCATTACATAGACTTCTCAAGATTGTTTACATTTGGTTAAGTACCTAAACAAATGGACTATAAGTTTTAATCTTTTAGACCAGAACTATGCCTAGTAAAGTGACATGTTTGGGTTGATGATGACATGAGATTAATATTTTTTAGAGGAACTCGACCTCACTGGATCACCTCTTAAAGTAGATCTGAGTCTGCATTCTCTCCTGGATGACACATTTGTGTATGATATACCGAAACTTTGGAGTAAGGAAGAAGAAACTCATGTGCCTATTGACATTGTAAATGCCAGGTGTGTTTTTTCTATTTAAATGTATAATGTATAAGTCGAATACGTTAACTGATTTTAACTGTTTAAAAAAAAAAATTGTCTCTCTCTTTTGCTATTTAAAATGGATATTTGACCATTTGTCACTTAGCCGCATATTAGTTAGAGGACGTCAGTTATTGTGACCACCACTAATTACAGAGCAGAGCCCAGGCCAACAGCATTGAAGAACTGAAAGACTTTCTTGGCTCCGACATTTACATGTTATATGTATGTTACATGTTTTATGTATCTCAGTATGTTAGTGTGATAAGGTTTCATCTGCAAAATGACAATTTTTCTTGAGAGAGGTTTGAAATTTCTATGTGTGGAAAAGTAGATGACTTTTATGCTTAAATATATATATACACATATATATATATATATATATATATGCATAATTTGTTTCATGTAGTTGGTATTATTTTTATGACTTTTGTGTGATAAAAACACATTTGATATATCGTCACATGTGGTTTTATTATACCAAGGGAATGATATGGTGATTTTCATCTTGATTAAAAAGTACCATGTTTATGAATTCATTTTGTTTTGCAGCCTTCATATTGCCACTTAGTTAACAACTTATTTTATAAATTTTAGATAAAAAAAAATAATTTATAATACCTTGAAATAATTTCAATGTGTAGTTGTCTTTTTTCAGAAAATAAATAAGATTTAAAAAAATCATGGATGCCACTGGATAATTGTCACTAGTTACAAGTTTCTTTCTCTTTTTAATTGTAGTAGAGCTTCTTGTGAAAGAGTACATCCAGGGAAGTACTGCCACCTTACCTATTGCTGCTACCAAGCAGTATTGTGAGCATTACTACAATCCGGTTTGGAACGTGCTGGTGAAAGTACAGGCACATGGGAGTTGTCGACTTACGTCTTAGGGTGTCGGGCGCAGTAGCGAAGGCCCCCATATTTTTGTGATTCAAAGTTCTGAGTGGTACTGCAACTGCTATGGACAGGCGTGGCGCACGATTTGTTCGTCTCGTCACTTAGTATTATAAAAAAATTCCAATACATTGTAACGGTCCACAGTTGAACACTAGTGAATATAACAAAAGAGTTAAAATCTATAATGCCAGGGTTGTCTAGAGTGGTAATGTATGCTAAATTTGGTAGTTCGTCTGTCTTAACTGAAAATCGTAAGTTATTGCGCTAAATAGGATGTTTGGTGATTATATCACCGATTAAAGTCTAGCGCTTAAATTATAAGAAGAAATTTCTGTGTTTCTCTACTAATTAATAAAATAATTGACTATTACTTCAATAACTTCAGCACCTACCGGAAAATGATCTTCTTGATCTTTAGTATTTTGTAAATTGTTGTGAAATTTAAATTGTAAAATGTGTTGTGAGCTAAGTGATGATATGAAAATAGTTAAATTTATTGATTCAGATTTCCTTTGTTCTTATGAATGTTTTTGACTGATAATACTCTTCAATCACCATTTTCTACCAGAACTTGAACAACCTTAATTGAATCTTAAAATTTTTTTTCAGAGAAATTTGCAACTTTTACAACAAGACTGTCAAAATTAAAGATAATGAGAAAACCTTACCTTTGTGGATTCTCACCAACCCATTGTCTTCAGGAAAGCCATTACTCATCACCTTACAATCAGAGAAAGAACACTTTGCGCGAGGTATTGTCACCTATGATGATACAAAGACTTTAAATGAGGTGAACATATACAAATTGGTTAAAGCATTCGCTGAGCAGGAAGAAATAGAAGAGAATTCGGTATGTATTTATGATGGTTAACAGTAAGGTCATTGGTAAAATATAAATAGATAATGAATTGTGTCATTGTGTTCTCAAAACAGACAAAAAGAAATTTGTCAGTTTGTAAACTAGTCAAAACATTATGGTGATAAGGTTTACGGTCTTTGTTTATAGACAATTACGATACTATGGAAGCATGTTATTTGCCTTGGGATTGTGGACTTTAAGCATTCTGTGTCTAATATTCATTCTGAAGCATCCATTGAAAACGATAACTACAGAGAAGCCTAACACATATATGTATAACTGAACTTTCAGTAATCGGAATGGCATTTTGATTAAATCTATTCAGACTGGAATTTAACTCAACAGTCTTCACTATTATTACCAAGAATATAAATCTGCTTTTTACAAGATTTTTGATGTTACATAGAACTGTTTGGAGAATAATTACTTATACTGTTGTAGTTATACTACTCTCTAGATGAGATTCTACATTTAATGACTATAGATACGAACATGCTAAAGTTTCCCCATGAATACAGGTAGCAACACTGATAGACTGCAAGTATCATATATCAGGAACATCATACACCACAGTGCACGAAGATGATCTATCAAATGCAGCACACTCGGGTCTCAGTGAACTTGCCTGTGAATGGGCCACTATGTCTTTGGATCCTGATTTGCTTAGTTGCAAAGTTAATATGGTAAGTTTATCTCATTTATAACTTTTAAGTCATTCTGTTGTTGCCATTTTAATTAAACTAAAATTTTGAAACATTGTATAAATTCACAATACTTACCCAAAGGTAGGTAGTTATTTTTGTTGAGCATTCCTAAATCTAAGAGTCTTGTATATGACTCTGGCTATGTTTTGAATAATTTTTATTATTATTTGTTATAATCATAGGTCGGAAAAAGGTGTTCCAAATCTACATACATGTATAGATATAGCTACAAAGAGTGACATAGAGTTCTTAAAATCACCAAACTCTAATTCATTACTTTTTTCGAATTCCGGATTTCCGGCAATGGTTTACTGCATAGTAGTTCTGTCTTACGATGTTGGAAGATGATGTTGTAAGTCAAAGTTGATTTTAAAGTAATTCGTGTCAAAAAATTCAGTAGATAACAGAGACTTTTCATTACAGTAAACCTGCTTGGTGGAAGAAATAAGTATGGTGGCAGTACTTCTTTGGACGAACTCACACAAGGAGCTCTACTGCTACTAAAATAATGATAATGAAAAAGATGCTAATAATGCTGATGCAGCTGATGATGCTTATTTATTTATTATTAGTGCTGATGAAGCTGATGGTGCTAATGATTCTGATGGTGCTGGCGATGCTGATGATGATTATGCTAAAGGTGCTGATGATGCAGGTGGTGCTGACGATTTCGATGGATATATCGATATACCAATATCTATGTCATCATCAGCGCCATCTGCATCATCAGCATCATCAACACCATCATCATCATAAGCACCATCAGCATCATCCGCATCATCAGCACCATCAGAATCATTCATTAGTATCATCAGAATCATTAGCATCATCAGCATCATCAGCATCATTAGCATCAACAGCATTATATGTATATAAGCTTCAACAGCTGCATCGGTATTATTAGCATCTTCGTCATTATCATCATTTTAGTAGAGCTCCTTGTGAAAGAGTTCGTGCAAGGAAGTACTGCCATCATAATTATTTTTCCGCTAAGCAGGTTTACTGTAATTAAAAATTAGTTATATACTGCATTTTTTACATGGCAACCACTTTAATTACTTTAAAATCCAACTTTGACTTCCTAGATGAGTAGTTTTGTCCTATGTTGCAGTAAAATCATTTCTGGAAATCCGGAATTTAAAAAAGTAAGTAATTAAAATTTGGTGGTTTTAGCAACTATATCACTTTTTGTAGCTATGTTTATACATGTATCTATGCATGTAGAACACCTTTTTCCGACCATTGGTTATAATATACAATAATATAATATACAATCACGTACATGTAGTTTTTTTCCATTAATTAACGACATTTTGCAGTAGTGTTTGTCATTTATGTATTAATGTGTTTATGGGATTCCTGTGTTTTCAGATACAAGAAGTCATAGTAGGCCACGTGGCAAGTCCGTGTAACGCTCTATGGGCGTCAGTATGCGCCTTACAGAATCTCCACCAGCTAGTAATCGATATGAACGAGCTAGGGCCTTTCTCAGTCGATCTTAAAACAGCTGTTATAAGGTACTATATTATTATGTAAACCTATAAATGTACTGTGTTACTAAATTCACTACGTGTACCTCTACTCTACCATGAGATTACAGTGACAGTTATCACTAGCGACAGCGAAAAATTTTAGTATACAAATGCTGTTTCTTCTTCTGACCGCTAGGGGCGCTGCATAATTTGCCATACAAAATTGTGCAGTAATTTTATGCGATCGTTAGCGACAACCATCACGGTAAACTTCTTCTTTTTTTATTTTAAAAATAAGATATTTGACTTCCAACCCACCTGGTGGAAAGTGGTGATGAATTTTATTTTTTCCCCTTACCAGTGCGTAGTAAAACTACCAATGATCTCTAAAAGTAATAGGTTGTAAAATGTTATATTACATATATATATTATATCATAGATTTTACTATCTATTTTATAGATCATAGGTAGTTTTACTCTGTACTGGCCACTGTTGTGGCCAGGAATCAACCTTTTTCAAGCACCTTTCAGTGTTTATAAATGTCATTATCAACAACACTTACCATTCAGAAAGCTAGTTGACGGCATTCCTTTTTTGAATATCACTATCCAATTATAACGCCAAACTTTACAAATTAACCAATCATGACTGATAAATTTCATTGTTTTGTTTCATAAGGTTGACATTAATTTCTTCCGTTATTTAAAAAAAAAGTTCTGCCCATTTTCCAATATGAATATTATTTTTTCAGGAATAAAACAAACACTACAAAACCAGACAACTCGAAACGGCTTAAAAACCTGCTGAATGAAACTGAAGAATACGCGTACGCAACGGAGTGTCCTACCGGTGGATGCACTGCTGTCACCGAGGACACCACATCTTTGCGACAGGCATTGCAAGCCATGAGTGCCAGTGGCTCGAGCAACGACTTTACTTACAAGCTTTGGGATATATTGAGAGGTAACTCGTCTATCTCTAGTCCTATAATATACTTATAGTTTCTGTAATTGTTGATAAACATTTATTTAAGATGTCGTTATAATAGCGACGTTTCTGTCAGTGTTTTGGTAGCTGTAAGAGCGTCTGCGCACTACGTGGGATACTTCCGAATCCGAGAAATGACAGTCTGAAATGTCACAGGGATCATTTTTGTCTCTAGGTGTATGTATAAGCGATATTCGTATTTTCTCGGATTCGAACCGGACTCGGAAACACTAGTTGTGTAGACACAATCGAAATTGTCGATCGACAATGAGAATTATAGAAGTTTTCGAGTTGTTTGGGAGTGCTTATTGAGAATGTGGCATTAATTTCTAAATCCGAGATAGTTGCCAAGAATTTTTAAAAATTTATTATTGGTTAATCCTTCTGGAAATGGCATTTATATATACATGATGAATACATGATGGCTGACACGATTTTTCGCATTTCTAAATGCAAGATGGCGGGCACGATTCCTCAAATAATGGCAAGTTAGGTATCGTTTTCGAGATATTTGGGGGTGCTCTTTACGAATATAGCACTTGTAAATCCAAGATGGCGGACACGATTTTTCAAAAAATGCAGTATGGGTATCATTTCGAGGTGCTCATTACGAATATAGCACTTATTTGTAAATCCAAGATGGCGGACACGATTTATCAAAAAATGCAATATGGGTATCATTTTCGAGGTATTTGGGGGTGCTCATTACGAATATAGCTCTTATTTCTAAATGCAAGATGGCGGGTACGATTTTTCGAATAATGGCAAGTTGGGTATCGTTTTCGAGGTATTTGGGAGTGCTCATTATGAATATAGCACTTGTTTGTAAATCCAAGATGGCAAACACGATTTCTCAAAAATTGCAATATGGGTATCGTTTTCGAGGTCTTTGGGGATGCTCATTACGAATATGGCATCACACGTTTGAACGGCAAATTACACCTGCATTAAACACTGCATTAAACATTATATTCCGTTGTTTATACGGTCGGACTTCTCCGCTAGTAAAATTTGTGCTAGCCATGCGTACACGTACGTACAACGGATAAAGGGCTTGCACAAGTGTACTTGCTATAAACTGGGCTGTTAGGCATATAGACAATAGTGTCGGGAATATGCGTTATATTTGGTATTAGTATCATAAAAAACACTAATGATAGTGGTAATTAATATGTTGATACGTTAATTTAGTCTATACTAAAAATATTATACATGCTGTTTTGGCGTCGAGCCCAGCGGAAATAGGGTTTATTTTAATTAAGGCTTTGTTTCAGATTCTGAGACAGCCGAGGAGCTTATCACATTGTTAATACAAACCCTTAAGTTCTTTTCTTCTTGTAATATCCACCCATTCGTAAGTATTTTTTGTTATGTTACATTTAACATTCGAGGAAATAAATATACTATGTATGTAATGGAAGCATTGCAAATGATTTTTGGGGCCTAGTCAAGTTTGAAAATAAATTCTGAGTGAAGTGTCAAATTGTAAAAAATTCCGAAATCCTTTCTTGCAGTTCAAATTCTGAAGTTGTTCTTGAAATATTTAGGATATGACGCTTCACTTAGAACTTAAAACTGGTTTTCAAATTTCGTGTCTTAACCAAACGTTGCTTTGTCTAAAGTTTTTTAATTTTTAATTTTAATAATATATTTTATAGATTTTTTTAAATTAAAAAAGTAAGTGCGCATTTAGTATCTTAATTCTAAATTTGATGGAAAGTGACGACGAGGTCGATTATGGAGCAGCACACCTAAATAGTGCCTATTTACTCGCTCCATAGCCTTTCGCCATATAAGTAATAATAATAATAACACACACACTCAACATAGCCCCGCACTAGGGAAACCCTGTGTCGCGGGTGCCGTGGACACACATATAGACAAGCACAATTTACACCCAAACTCACGAGAGAAACAAATGTAGGTCATACAAATATTTCTCCCGGCCCGGGAATCGCACCTGGGACCTGTGCGTGGCAGTCCGGCATGGTAACCGTTCGGCCACAGAGGCAGTTATATGTAATATGGAAGCGTAACGCTTCGTACGAATCCTTGAAATATCTACAACATGGGGTGGAGCTTCAGCCTAGGTCTAGCCCCCCGATGATGGAAAGGGGTAGGTGGAATTAAATCGTGCAATTAGATAAGAGTAGTAGGAAATTCCTAGCATAATGTCAGGTAATTGGCGTGATTATCTGATACATTTGCTGTTATATTACCTTAAAATCGTGAAAAGCGATGACTCCATAGCGCAGGGTGTACTAGTGTTCACACGAAGCTCCACCAAGCTCTAGCCTGGTAACATTTCACTTTTATCGATACGTCTAATGAACATTGCGCTAAGTAAATTTTTGAACCTGTTCTGTTTTTTGTTTCTTTTAATTATTAATACAAAGATCGAACACTTAGAAAAAATTCCTTCGATCCGGCCGGATTCGAACCGACGTGTTTTAGCATACCGTGCCAGACACTATACCAACTAAGCCACGGAACGAACCAGCGGACCTCACGAATTTTTCTATGTGCGTGTTGTTGTGTCTTTGTATTTGGTTTTTTAACGACTTTTTAGCCGTAGCGCCATCTATGAGAAATCTATGAAAGTATTCAAATCAAATCAAATCATTTTATTCGTCATCATGGGTACAATAAAGATGATAACATTTATTTTACGATCGCCATGACGTACCATCAAGGCATACGAATCATACTATTATTATTAATTATACTTGTCCAATACTTCCAAATAATAATAATAATAATAATAATAAAATAACACTAATAATTATCATTAAATAGTCATAAACCACTGTTTATAGGCTTCTACCTTCACAGGACCAAGTCTTAAAATCTACAACAGTTGGGACATCAGAACAAAAGTAATTTAATTAAGATAATAATCAATGTAAATAAATCAATATCATACAGTCACGTTCGTCTCAATAATAAATTAATTAATGTGAAATTAGTTAGTAAAATTCCTTTAATGTATAAAATGATTTTTCAATTAAATACTCAAATAATGTGCGTTTAAATTCCGCGAAATTTTCATTCTGCCTTACCTGTAATGGCAATTTATTATAGATTTTTGGTGCCATTGCAATTATACTCTTCTCAAATAGTGACGTTTTACAATTTATTTGGCGTAGTTGGTTTGGACGTCGTGCTCTTGTAACTACAGGAAAAAGTTGTGTCGTCGTATAAATAAGGCTGTTTCATAGATATATAATGAAGGCAAGGTCAAAATGTTTAGTTCTCGAAAATAGTTTCTGCAACTGTCGTTCTGTTTCAGTCCACCGATTGCCCTTATGCACCTCTTTTGAGCTCGAAAAACTTGTATTGTGTTGCTACTATTACCCCAAAATAATAAAATAAATAAAAATATTTCGTCACCCAGTTAGATACCTTTAGCTACCAACTCCGGCTAGAGATGTCGCTATTCACTGTATTTAAATTCTTAATGAATTGATATTAAATTATTTTATGTGAAATTACTCCACTAGTTTGTTATAATTATTAATACAAATTAATTATTATTTTTTAAATGAATTGATTATATATTTTAAATAATTATAACAAACTAGTGGAGTAATTTCACGTAAAAAATAATTTAATATCAATTCAAGCAAAATTTTCGTTTTTTGGGTTTCTTTTTTCGAATTTTGTTTTTTGTTTCTTTATTTTTTTTTCACAAAATTCGGTGAGCGTAATGTAAATAAATGTGGCTTCTAATGCAAATAATGGCTGTTTACAAAAATAACAGAAAATGACCAAAAAATAAGTTGGCAAAGTGTTGAATGGAGGTATCGATATTTTATATAAAACACATAAACATATTATTATTACAATTTTTATTCTTACAGATAGATGGAAGCAACAAAACCTTTTTGTCGAAGATGGTACTAAAACTCGCCAGAGGTCACTCACAAGCTGCGAAATTCATCAAAAACCTTCACTCAAATCCTTTGCAAGCGCTTTCGCTTATCACTCAATTGGGATTTGAAAAGACCATGTGGGAGTACACCAAGGTCATGTCGCTCCTGGATCATTCTTACGCTATCACTGCAATTTGGAATGGCGAAGTTCGGTGATTACATTGTTTGCATTCCTTTGTTTTCTGTAATGTTTTAAAACTCCAATCGTTACATACGACTGATAGTGAAGATATTCACTGTGGTTTATGACTCGTTTACTCGTATTAAGTGACGAAGTAATTAATTAAGTTTTCACAAAATTTTAACTTAATTTTAAGGAGTCTAACGTTTACACGTGTCTTCGTGAAGCTATAGGTACTTGACATTTTGCAAACAACACGTTAGCCCACCAAATGCTTCAAAATTCAAGCTACGACTATAATGTGTGAGATGCGGGAGCATCGATTACTTCTTCAAAAAATAGGCTTGATTCTAATCTACTTATCCCCTAAATCGATAATTACTTCACAGCTGTTAAGTGCTTGTTTACATATATAAATTTAACTTCTTCACTTAATATGTGTAAACCAACCAGTATATACTGTACTATGGTTTATTACTATATATTATTATATTTTTACCCCTATTTCGTTTTCTGTTATTACAAACCATGTATCTGTAACCATATTTATATAAGAAAATATATAGAAACAGTCACTGCCCACAGGAGCTCGGAATCCATAGAGCAAATTAACCAAACGTTACAAGAAATGTCTATGAGCGGTGGCGACTTCACCATGAATCCCTTCGAGAGTCTTTGCGGCTCCGAAATGTCAATCCGCATTGACTGTGATTCTTTTTATGCGGACCCTGAAGCCAGCGACGATCTGCCGAACAAGAGACCAATAAAGAACCAATGTACAGTCAGTGAGAAGAAAGATTCAAATGAGGTAAGATTATTTGCAAAGAACAACCTTCAGGCCACAAATTCGCAAAAGTGTTGCGTTCGGCGGGGCGTCTCAGGTTGGCACGTACATTGTGTCTTGTGTTGAATGTACACAAGACACACGTTTGGACGCAAAGTACGTGCAAAACCTGAACGCCCCGTTGAAGGCGTCATTGTGCACCGTTTCTTAGCAGTTTCTTAGTAGCTTCTTACTCATTCTTCTCAGAGGAACCCGCTTTATAAATGTGTCGGATGGAAGAAATTTTTCTTTGTGTTCGTTCTTTGTATCAATAATAATAATAAACTAGTGGAGTATTTTCACAAAAAATACATGAATACCTATAAAATAAATATTACAAAGAACAGCAGCGGGCTGAGCCCCATGAAGTTTCTTACTCATCTCAGTGGAATCTTTAGCAGCCTTATGAATGGTCTACTACTCTACTCGTCTCTGCCACTAGAGTTTAATTTATGTGACGATGTCAAGTGTAATTTGCTCACTTATGAAATAAAAATTATTTGAGTTTGAAGTTTCAGCATTAACTGACCGCATGCCTCGAAACTGACACTGACCCAAGCCTAGTGGCCACCTCTAAAGAAATATAATGATGACTTCCTTTTTATATCCTAATTTAGATTTTTTTCTGCCTACTTAATCCTATTCTGTTTGCAATACTAAATA